TCCAACGATACTGAATGAAGTCAAATGCATGGTGTATCTCTCAGGGATTGATAAACGGCGAGAGCTTTATCCTTTTTATCCTTACTACCCATCTATAATTTGCTGAGCTCTGAACGTGGAGATTGGGTATGGTCATGGCTACCTTTCCGCTCTTCCTCAAAGTACACTAGGAGCTCATTTGTTGGAGGCAACTCTTGGCCGCCTACCACAGACTTCCTCATCAATTGATTGTAGGCTTTTGGCCGAATTAACTCGTAGAATACAATCCTCATAGACGAGAACACACCCACTCACGCAAGCATGCATACATTCTCGTGTACTGAGAACTTATATGCCGAATCGGCGTAGTAGAGACAGGGAATCCATCCTCTGGATCCATCAGCAAAGGGAAGCAAAGGCTGCTTTTGGTCCGCGATTAAGCACCTATTCGCCACGTGGGGACGTGCCACATTGCCCCCAGACTAACCGCCGTCGGACCATTCCCTGAGCGAGATCCGTTGTCTGAAAGAGAGTAGGAGAGATGCATGAATAATATAGATAAGTGTGGTAGATGGAGGGTTCCTCATGTTTGGTTTACGTTGCCGCTGTCTTCGCATACTGCTTTCTTGTCACAAACAACTGGTCACAGGTGTCGGCATTATTGACCACTTATTTGACTATTATATTAGCTTATGCAAGACGACAAACAACAACACAACTGTAATACAGAACCTGTAGGTCATGCAGTTACATATAGTCAGCTCATCAACAAAACCACTCTGTGTGGCCGGTACTTGATGCTCGTCTAGAAGAAAACCTATAAAATACCGTCGTTACATTTCAAAGCTTTGCTTTTAAGATATCCTTTCTCATAATCATGCATGGTGTTCTGCGCATAAGTAGTCCTAAGAGGGTTCCTCAAGAATTTCAAAACATGTCCTCATTTTTGCTTCTTTCAGGAGAATTTCCCAGGAGATTAGTATACACTGACTTACTGATAGCACAAATGATCTCATTAGCATTCACACTGTAAAAAACCATTCTATAGACAAGATGCGAGATGTGTATAAGAACAAAATCCTTTTCATCATAACAGATCCCTTTCTGAAAGGCAATCCCAGCTGTTACTTCGACAACTAGCAATCTCGCTGATGGCGATGAAGATGGCACAAGTGAGAATGGAGGTGGCTAGAACAAACACAGTACATCCAAGAAAACCAGATCTTGGATCCTAGCACCTTGAAGTGCCAAGCGCTAGCGTAGATCGTTATTCGTAGATTTCAACCTATAACAGGTGCTTCTCCCAACGGTTTATCGGCTGATCGTGTCTGGGCGGTGTTCCTGGGTGTCGGGCCGCGATGCACAGGTGAGATTCATCCCTGGCAGGGCATCCCGAGCTGAGAAGGAGTCCGGCGTTTCCATCAAGAAACCTAGCTAAGAATTAACCAATATCAGGATCCACTACCGTCCTGGTATCAGAGTAGTCGTATGAAGACAAATACTCCTCTGATCAACATGGGCGGCGACTGCCTGTGGTGGTGACGATCTCGGGTAGACTGGCCTGGCTGAGCTCAGGACTCCGGGGAATCACAATGCCTAAACCAGCTGAACTTCGAAAAAATGGCGATTATGCGGAGCTCGCACAACTAGTGAGGGCGGGCCATCCAAGTATTCAAGTAAGTAACAAGTGTTCACGGTAAAATCTTATCCATCCTCCGACGTATAAAGATGCTCTAGGATAATCTCTACCACCATTTTTAGTAAAATCTCTTATACAAACTCAAGAAAAACGAAATGAGTTCATCCTTAACTTTTACTATTAACCTTTTCCCATAAGGAGATAACTTAGCAACTAATTTTTATTTTAGACAAAACGCAAACAAAAAATCGTTAACTGTACATGAATAACTGAATACAAAAATATATCAATAGGTAAGTTATATAGTTATATCAAACTGTAAGAATAGGACAGTCGCCACAATAGTATACGTAAGCCGTTCGAACGAAATGAACATCACCACAAATATTTACAACTAAGAACGCAGAAGCTTAACATCCAAGTTAGTTTGATAAGAAACTCACAGAGCCACAAATAACACATTCGGTTTAAATAAACAAAGATGTTTTGAGTACGGCCCAGTAGAGTCGGACTAGAATACCCCAGTGGTTTTGTTGCCCTTTTGTACATCAAATATAGTCGAATGTAACCCACGTCATTTCCAAACATTGCGAAATGTCCCAATCCATGAATCGAACCACAGAACAGAAATGGAAACCAACTTGTCACTAATAGCAAAGAGAAGATGAGTAATTCAAGAAATTTTGAGAACTTTTTTCGAATACTAATGTTGGCTAGTCATTCACAGATGGAAATGTAGGTCTGGTAACATGTCAAGATTAATCGGATGATGACAGGATTTCACACGAATCCAGAGACAAATGCCTAAGTCTAGATTCATTGCACTTATCTCTCAAATGTTCTCAATAGAAATTTGTGTAAGGGAAAGACTGGAAACAAGCCTAACGACCTAACGAGTAGATTAAACGTCTTTGTTTTTGATCACATGATAGGGATGGATAGAACCATAAGGAACTGTGTGCAAAAATGTCTCCATCAAGTTAGAAAACTTCTCTGATAAATATGAGAGCACTATTTCGTATGTACGACAATCAAATATCACTTAGAACTCATTAATAAATATGGATAACAAGCAAAATAAGAACTCAAACCTGTAGATGGGGAACCAAAATAATCGAGAATTAACTAACATAAGAACAAATCATAAGCATAAAGACATAAATACATAGGTTTACAAGGCTGTATAGCTCAACGGGCTTCCAAATATGTACAAAATTCTCTACCCAAAAAGTAAAAACCGACAAAAAAATGTGGAATCACTGTGGAATAGAAATTCGGTGTACGACCCGACTTAAGCTATACATATCAATCACAAGCAGAATAAAAATTCCGAGAAACAGAATAGTCGATCCTTAACAGTTTTGTGTTCAGAAGCCAAGAATATCATATAAAGCGGACATGAGAGGAATTCAGGTTAGTAAATAAACGAAAAAAAAAAAATAAAACAGAGGGTGTCTAGACACGAAGTCAAAAAGTAAACAAACTGTAGCATCATGACTGCACGATGTCAACAAAAGCCATAGGGAATAAATATGTACAGAAAATGATAACTGCACCATTTGGGAAAAGAAAAATCCTCTATCGATCTCTCAGCGGTCTTTCACGAGATATCCATCATTTCCGTGCTCTCCGACATGAAATCATCGTTCGATCGCTCTTTAACACTTATATTCAGCCTAAAAACATTCAGGTATACGTATGGAAAGGTTACAAGGTAACGTCATACTGGAAGTTCTAAAAGCCTGCACCAACTTTCTTCCTGCAATAATGTCAGAAAATGAACTGAGAGTTGTCCCATTTATTTTGTTTCTCTCTCAGGAATCGTGTAGTGCAGTGGTCACAGGGGTCGCGCTATTAACGTGGGATTGATCCCCGCGCCCGAGCCCCACCAAGTCTTGCCTCCCCTCCGGGATCGGCAAATTGGTAGCAGACACGCCTGAGAGGATAGCAGCACTGACTCGATACATCAGTAGACCACCGCGATTCATTGTAAAGGGCGGATATCCAACTCAGTCACTTCCAACGATGCTTATTGAAGTTGAATGCACGACGCAACCCTCAGGGATTGATCAACGCCTACCCTTTTATTTTTAACTCAGGAGATGTAAGGTACGAAAGTAATAAATTGAACAGAACAAATGTTCATGCGGAGAACTGAATCCGAAAACGAACCGCCGCGGGAATGCCTCATAATCATGCGTGATATTGGACAGTATTTAAACCTGTTATTCTGATGGGAGGGCCACTTTACGCTTCCATGTGAATTCTGTGCGGTTTAACTCCAAGTGACATATTCAGTGGAAGACTCATAGAAAGCGGTGAGTGTACAAAAAAGCTATTCTGTGTTCACTGTGATTGGAATCTTGGTTTAGCATCTTTTCTGTCTGGTTATGGAGGTGTTGGGCTGGGTAGAGTGCGAACAACTTAGCCTTTCCACGCTCTGAGAAAGCCGAAATCCGCCAAAACGTCAGTTTTTCCGTCAATAATGGACAGAGTAACACCTCGTGTTTGCTCAATAAGAGATAAAGAATCACTTGAAGAGTTGTGGAAAATTTTAACTTAGAGGTTGAATCATCAACAATCGGTTATCATTTTGAAGGCACTGGAGAAGTAACAAGGCCCGAAGATGTGCGCCGTATGAACTGAATGAAGAGCAACAAGGTCGTCGTCATATAAAGTACGTCCTTCGCTCTTTTGTTCACGTAAAAGGGATACTGTAAGGAATCCTACACGACAAGCAACGACGCTGAATTAAGGAAATGGATTGAGATGAAGCTTCTTAGCATCCTAGACAGCCAACCCTACCCAAATGGTGGCTAGAATGGCTTCTTCGTTTTCAGCACAGAAAATCATGTGACCTAATATCTTCGATTTTGAGGAACGATCGTAACTGGGAAGTAACAACACTACATCAATCAAATATATTACAAATACAATACTGCAGCAATATGGTTAACAAAATGATTCAATCCCTCTTGCAAGACAGGAATTAACAACAGGTTGCATCCAAAGCTGCAAAAGTTCAATGTGCTTAGCGACGAAGCCTTACCCTATCCACTATACTCAACGAATCTTTCGGCAGCAAATTACCGCTTTTTGTAGCACTTTGAAAATTGTTATCTGAGGTAATTTCCAACAACTAAACCAATGGTGTTGAAAAATGACTTTGAAAAGCTTGTCCTTTCTAAAACTTTACATCCTACTGACACAAATATTTACAGTTTAATGACTACTCTTATTGATAAAATCACATTTAGGCCCAGTTATGTTTCAAGATTTAAGTCAGAAACAGTAATTACTTCTGCACTAAGCTAAATAAATAGAAAAGTGCACAAAGCTTTGCGTTAAACTAAAGCAGCTATCGGATGTTTGAAGGTAAGGATCAGAAAAAACTGCAGTTCTGTAGTGCGCAAACCCTCATCTTATTAAAGGAAAAAAGCTTCTTGGAAAGTTCAAAATCAACTAAGTACGACTAGCTCACCAGTTTTCAATATTGCTAAGCACCATTAGGGCAAGACGGCGAACAGGTTCTGTCGTCCGAACATCATAAACTAAGTGCTTCAGAAGGGGTATACCTCCTTCATCAGCAACATAGGAACAGTACCTAAAAGTTGGTCTTTTCTTACAACCAATGAAACAGTAACTTGAAAGATAAAAAGCTAAACATATTACATTCGAACATAATCCCTTGCCCACTTCGACACGTTTGCTCTTGATTTTACTTGATCACCACACATCTTCACTCAACGATGTATTCACTTCCATTGCTAAGAGTAGGCATTTCTGAGCAGGTTATGCCCAGAAGGGTTTTTAATCTGCAACCCCTATTTCTGGACTGTATACTGGATAGTTTACGGTAGTTCAGCCACTAGCCTCAACTTTGCGACCCGGTAGCAGAGCTGTCATACAAAGTCAGAGCCAGAGTTGCTTTGGTCGATTTTCCTTCATAGAAGAAGGAAAGTTGTAAAGCATGTCTATGGCGTGTAGGATACGACGTATAACAGTTGGTCAGAATTCAATAATCCAAATGTCTTGAGGCTCTTAAAAACTAAGATCGTTTTCCTATGATCCCATCACAGCAGAGCTAGTGCCCCCTTTTAGCAAGAGAGTTAGAAATCGTTGTACATGTTATGCTTATAGTGTGCCAAATTCTTATCTCTATTTACTATCTCTCTCAGCAACAGAGTGCTTTCGGTTCAGATGACACAGCGGATTCTTTGTACATTTAAAAATACCTTGCTTTGCGAAAGGCTTAAATTTACAGGTACGAGTAGATGGTGATATATGTTAAACCGAGTGCTTTCTCCCATATACGCGTTCTGTTATGGTTATACCACAGTTCGAGATCACTTTGCAATGTTTTTGTCAAGTGTCATTGGTCGCCCAGACCGATGTGAACCTTAACCTCAAACTTGAAGTTGATCTTTTCGTCGGTCGTGAGAAACTTGGTGAGGAATATTTGCCTGTACATCGTGGTAACTGGTGTTGCTGATCGTCCACTTCGATTCCAGGTTGCTTTCATCGCTGTGCTCGTACACTTCTACATTATGGATTTCAAATTGCATCATTTATTAGGATGAAACCCGACAAACCCAGAATGGACGAGGAAAAAAGCGAAAAAAATAATGAACAAGTACAGTAAGATCCCATGTCCTAACATAATAATATAAAGCCACACAATAAGGACTTTCTTACTTTCCACCATCAGTCGTGGTAAGATTAGCCAGCGCCCACACGGCCCAATGTTGACTAGCATACGCATGCCATAGTGGCAGAAGGCGAAGGATTGGACGAAATGAGCGGTAATTAATGAAACGTCTTGTATCCAGACGCCATGTCTCCGTAGCCTGAAAGGAAAACATTTAGTGTCGAAATCAAACAACCACAATGGTTAATCAAAAACATATGACATGTCTGAGCTCTAGAATAAGAATGAAAAACGTATAGTGCTCATCACCTTACCATCTAACATAGAAATGACATTTAGAACAAAACGAGACCCGTCCATAACATGTTACGAACCTTCACAATGCTCGCCATGACTTGCTCTCGTTTTATTGTCAAATTTCTCCATGCGTCTTCTCCATCACTAACCATGTGAGCAAGAACACCAGCGCTGTTGTAGCTGATTTCTATCGAATCCTCCACAAGGTCAAGGAGAGCTCTATAAAAGGAAAAAAGTTTATTTTCTCAAGTGAATGTCATCCAGTGATTAAAGTTACATACGAGAAAATCTTCACGTAGTCGTCATTCATCAGTTGTGAACGCAAGCTGTCAACCTCCGCGATGTTTCCAATAAGACCCATCATATTGCGGACTAATTCTCTAAATCATACACCATAATAAGTATTTAAAACAAAGCACACCTAAAAATAAAAGAAAAAGGAGAAAGCTCTGGTCGTCGATCAATTCGTGGGGAATGCGCCACTTCATCAAGCATCGTTGGATGTGATTGAATGCATAACTGGGCTTTATCCCAGACAAGTCTGCTACCAATTTACCGACCCCGGAGGGATGGAAAACTTGGTGAGTCAGGGGCGCGAGAATCGATCACGTGTGTTGCAGAGCATCTCCCACCACTGCGCTACACCTGTCCCATCAAATGATAAGAAAAATAATGAAAAATTTTTAATTCAAATTGAAATTTAAAGTGCAAAAATGGTGATTTAAAAACTTGACGAACTATGAAAACACATAAAGAAAGGTGAAAATCTAAGTCGCAATCATACGATGAACAGCTCGAGAAAATCCACCATTTATTACGTGCCTCCCACTAAGAAGGAACGTCAATGTGAAGGTACAGGGCCAGATTAGTGTGATCTCTGGGCATTCCTCCCTACTGTTCATTCTAGCGTTCGCGGTATTTATCCAAATGCCTCTAGAAGTTTGCGCATTGCTGTCTTGGCATCTTGTGCGAGGATAGTGACTTTAATACCAAAATCGTCTCCACTATGTTTTTGTATCCTATGCGGCCCTAGTGGCGTGCCTTGTTTTGCTCTTCGTCTGCCATCTAGCTGTTCATTTATGCGATACATAAAGGTCTGCTCATTTCGCTAATATATTCATTTCCACAAATATTACAAAAGAAAAGGCATATCGTACCTAAACTCATGCAGTCACCGTCCTTGCTGTAAGGGCAAATTACGCAACTATGTGTTTCGCATAGACGGTCATATAGAGCGTTACGAACTAACTGATGACGAAGGAAATCGGATGGTATTTCAAATATCGCTACCGATTCCTCTAGACCTCTAAAAGAACACCTAGATGGCAAACGAAAGGAAAGACTATGTACCCCACTAGGGAAGCATAGGATACAAAAACATAGCGGAGACGATTTTGATATTAAAGTCAATATCCTCGCACAGGATGCTAAAACACCAACGCGCAAACTTCTAGAGGCTTTTTGGATAAATGCCAGGAACCCTGGAATGAACAGCAGGGAGGAATACCCGGAGATCATACGTGATCTGGCCCCGTACGTTCGCATCTTTTGATGTGGGGTGGTGCATTTATCGACAATATGCGACTCCGATCAGCTATTCTTCCTCAGTGGAAGGCACGTAAAAAGCGGTAAGTTTTTCGAGAAGCTATTGATCGTGTGATTGCGATTTAGATTTTCGTCTCTCTGTACGTGTTATCGGAGCGTTTGACTTAGTAAACTGCCTATCAATATTCCATTCCAAGCTCTGAAGAAGGTGAAATAAGCCGAGACGTCAGCTTTAACGAAATAAAGAATAAACTAAAACCTCGTGTTTGCTCAACAAGAATCTCAAGAACTATTTAATCAATGCCGAGGTTTCTTTTTAATCGGTCGTAGGAATTACTATAAAATGACAACATACAAACCTCTCATTGCGAAACGCGTCAAAACATTTATGGAAAAGCAAAAGACCATCGGCCTTCAAAAAGCGTTCACAATTCACCGGTGTTTCGTCTGAAAAGAGTAAAATAGAAACTAAAGAAACAACATACAGCATCGACGAACCGGTTATATTCCATAAGAAACTCCAGCCAACTTCCATAACGTCATCACAAACGTTTGTTCCCAGCTTTCGTCGAATCTGATCGAGAATCATCTAAACAAGTAAGGCGTGGCAAAACAGAAAAGGTGAAGTCTCTAAAGAACATTTAGAAAGAATCTAAGGATCTAGTATGTACCCACAAACCTCGATCGCACCAAAGCTTCCAACTTGAACCTTCTGGTCGCCTTCTACATGACAAGCCATAGAATTCAGCAGGAACACCACTATACGTTGTGTCAAATTATCAGCATTGTGGTGTTGAAGAACAGTTACCAGAAGAATGGCCAACCGACTAAATATTATGGTAACGTAAAAACATGTACATCTAAGCTTAAAAACGATAACGCTTTCGGCATTGATCAATCCCTGAGAGATATGTCATGCATCCGACCTCATTGAGCATCGTTGGAGGTGAGTGAAGGCGTATCTGCCTTTTACAATGATTCGCAGTACCGATGTATCGAGCCAGTGCTGCTATCCTCCCAGACAAATCTGGTACCAATTTGCCGACTCCGGAGGGATGGAGGGCTTGGTGAACCAAGAGCGCGGGATCGCGTTCCCATGTGTATTGCGGAACCCCTCCGACCACTGCTCCACATGCGCCTCTCATTTAAGCATAGTTCAAAGAATATCAAATTGGTCTACAAACACAGTGACAAAGTCACTAACGAACTACGAGAATAAGGAATACAAGAAAGATGACGGAACCTGTAATCGAAAAGTATCTCCTGTGGAATCTCAAACTGGCATAGTGAAAGGCAGCAGTTCCTAACCATTACCTGCTCCTCCATATGCGTCTCCATTCCTTTAAATTGATGAGAATTTAGTCTAAACACAAGAGAAAAAGTTACATACTAAAACTTACCACTAAGCAAAGCGCTTACAACGCGTTTCTTGGTGTCCCTATTCATTGAGACTTTTCGAATTATGTAGAAGAGACTGGCGGATCCAGCTATTTGCAATGTACTGTCTTCCAAATGATTTTGCATCGCTGTTAGTACCAGGTGGAGGGCCTCCGTGTGACGAACCTGAAGGCTAAATTTATAACGAAAAGGAAGTGCAATCACGAATGTGAGAACTGTACGGTTAAACAAACAAGAGGATTGCTGTTTCCGAAACGATAGAGTTGGTAACTCTCATTAAGAACTGACTGTAGTAAGCCCGCACGATCTTTGTACATTTGTAAAGCCATAATAACCTAAACAAGAACTCAGATTAGAAAAAAAGGAACATAAATATCCGAAAAAAACTGCAGAATAAGTCACTTGATCCTCGTTGGCATCCCCCGAGATGTGTTTGGCTGGAATTTCACCAAAATGACTAGCATTTTCACAGTTGAATAGACCAATAAAGTACAAAGGTTTGCTGAGGAATCGCAACCCGACGATATCAGAGCGAACGTTTCCCTGGCTGAAATTTCCAAAAAAAATATTCGTAAGATAAAAGGACAGATGTCAAAACCATTGTGTTACACATATGCAAACGATAACAAAATTCAAACGACTGAAAATTCAGAAGAAAACATTTGCAACGAAACATACTTTACATCAGATTTCACTGGCCAATCTTTAGGACTTGGCTGAGCGGCTAAATTCGTAGATGAAATGTCAAGACAGGTGAGATGTTTTAGGTGTGTAACAATTTTATGAAGTGCTGTGACAGGTCTTGGATATAGACCAGTCTCCCGACTCGATTGCGAAAGATCAAGGAATCTAAAATATCACAAAATTCTAAGGAAGCATTCCATTACTTAGTTCAAGAGAACAACTGAAATTGTAATGTGGTATACTACCTGAGTTCAGTCATGGTAATAACACTGTCAATGGTACGATACAGATCGGGTACATCAAACAATATCAACGTAGTCAAGTGAAGAGGATGAACGCATCTGAGATCCTCCATCTGAACGAAAAGTTAACGAAAACAACAGTAAATAAAGGGCTAAAAAGGATAAAGTTCCGGCGTTGATCAATCCCTAAGGGATGCGCTATGCATTCGATTTAATTAAACATCGTTGGAGGCGACTGAATGCATATCTGGCCTTCACAATGACTCGCGGTGGCCTACCGATTCATCGAGTCAGTGCGGCTATCCTTCCAGACAAATCTGGTACCAGTTTGCTGACCCCGAAAGGATAGAGAGCTTAGTGAACCTGGGGCGTCGGGATTGATCCCATGTGTATTGCAGGGCGCCTCCGACCAATGTGCCACACGCACTCTTGGCGCCGATAGAAAACAGAAATACGAAAAAAACAAACGATTCTTACCCGGTTCCAATATGAGAGATCAAGAGTCCTCAAATCGTTCAATGGCTCGAAAACGCGGCGCAGCAAATCATTAGGCGAATTTTCCTCGTCTTCCGGAAACCGCCTTATCTAAACCGAATCATTGGGAAATCATAAATGATCAAGACAACCTGCAATCTAATCAACACCACTTCAGTACCTTTGGAAGCGCAAGCGTTGTAATGCCAGGACAACGTGACGTAAACACAGGCAGTTCGCGCTCTTCCTCCAGAATCTCTTCGTACAGAGGATCCGCAAATGAAGATATACCAAGGTTACCACTAAGAGATGATGAACAACTTAAAGACGGCACTATGAAGCAATAACCAGAAAGAGATATCACTGTTACCAAACTAACCTTTCGAAGATCTGCTGCTGATTAGAATGGACTAGGTGCGCCGATACTCCTCTATTCTCTCTCATTTGATCCAGTCCACCAGCGCCCTCAAGATCCTCTTCTCCCAAAACGGGTATGTTCCTAGTCTCCGTGCTCGGTACACCGTTTTTTCTAGAATATGAACCTATTAACATCATTATAACTTCCTAACAGTTTATTGCCTCATAGTGGCTGGGAGGTGTTTGTGGGTGTCGGGCAACGATGTACAGCGGAGAATTCATCCTACATACAGGGCTTCCCAAATTGCTGATAAGGAGACCGGTGTTTCCATCAGGATGCCCAGTTAAGAGTAAACCAATACCAGGATCCACCTCGGTCCTGGTATCAAATTACTCACATGGTGCAAATCTCCTTCTGATCCAAAAGACCGGCGACTACTTGCGGTGGTGACGACCTGCGGCAGACTTTTGCTAGGATAACCTCGGGACTTCAGGGAACCACAATGGCTGAATCAGTAAGACTCCGAAAAAGTAGAAATTTTGTTGGGGTCCACAGAACCTATGAGGACTGGACATCCAAGTATCCAAGTTTTGACATCATATAAGTTCAAAGGAAAACAGGTTAATGTTTCCAAGAACACAACCTGCGTGATCGTCGGCTGAGTAGTTCCATGGACGTCATCTTTAGCGTTCGTAGATTGGGAAATGTGACATTTCGTTGATGTAGTAACAGGTTTGTATCATCCGATATACCCTACAAAGTAATGAGACAATAGAGCAGAACTGAATTTCAGAATTTATTGTTAGCACACGGATCTCCCTCATATGAAGGATCTCGAGCCGGTTAGTCGCAAGGCTACGTGGCTCGTCCCCAGGTGGCGGACAGGGGTTAATCGCGAACCAAAAGCGACCTTTGCTTCCCTGAGACGCAGGTGGATCTAGGGGATGGACTCCCTGTTTCTGCTGCGCTGATTTAGCACATACCTTCTGTATTTGCTAGGCGTATTCATGCATGCGTGTGTGGGTGCGTTCTTGCTTATGCTGATTGTATTCTACGAGTCAATTCCGCCAAAAGCCTTCAATCAACTGACTGGGAAGTGTATGGGAGGCGGTTAGGAGTCGCTTCCAACAAATAAGCTCCATGTCCACTCTGGAAGAGCCTGGCAATCTACCCGTGAGTATACCCAGCCCCCAAGTTCAGAGCCCAGTAAGCTAGACATGGGTATCAAAATGCTAAACACAATAGAAGAAACGAGCCTCATTCCTCTGATCCCGAAAGAGCCCTCAATTCGGCAGCGTTGGATAGGACGAGCATGGAGAGGCTGCTAAAATCTCAGGCCAATGGTAGCTACCCGGATCATGAAGAACTATGGTGATGATCTGTACCTACAATGCACGTACACCTCTGCATACGAGTCCTCGATAGAAGACTTCTCATGCAAGCAAGAAGAATAAGGTACGATGTCATCGGCCTGGCCGAGACGCGAAGACGCCAACCTTTCAACGCCATTTATGACACCGGAGAAGGATTGTTCCTCGGAACATGCGACACTAGAGGAGTTGGCGACGTTGGCGTTCTCGTCAACACGAGTTTGTCCATGAACATCGATTCATTCGAACAACTTACAACTCGAATCGGACGTTTACGATTAAAAAGACGTGGATCAATTCCGGCTTCGACAATCTTCGTCGTTCACGCGCCGACAACAAACTATGACGAAGAAGAATTCGAGGCGTTCTATATGGACTTGGAGTTGTACAGAGATGATCACACATTCTTCAAGGTCATCATTGGAGATTTCAACGCCATGATTGGACCAAGAAGAACGTCACATTGGGACCTATGGATTGATTAGATTGGAATGAAAAGGATGAGCGGCTATCCGAGTTTATCATGGCGACCAAGACCATCCATGGTAACTTGCAATTCCAAAAGCCCCACATTCAACGCTGGACGCAGGGATCCACCAATGGAGAGTACCATAACGAAATAGACAACATCATAGTAAATAGAAGGTTCCGCCAAACCGATGTCGCTGTTGTCCCAAAATTCTACACGGGATCAGACCACCACCTCCTTTGTGCAAGATTCGATTTCTCGCGGAAAAGAGAAAAAGCCGCCAAATTCCAAAACCAAAGTCCCAGAACCATCGTAAACTGGGACTTATTCAATTCATTAGTCGGCTGTTGGGAAGATGCCGTTGCCGATAACATCGACGAAGAATACGATCGGCTCATTCAACATCTACACGTTAGCGCTATGAAACCTAAGAGTTCGAAAGTCACCAAGAGACGTTTGTCCCCAGAAACACTCCAGCTTATACGCCAGCGTGAAATCGCACAAGCTGCAGGCAACCACGAACTAACGTCCGAACTTGCAAAACAATGCAGACAGGCGATTAAAGAAGATCTTAAAGAGAGAAGAGTAGCAGTTAAGGTCGAAGCTGCAGAGCTTGAGAAAAGCATTGGCAAAGCCGACCGGAACTTCGTCAGTTGCAAAACCAAGACGATTCCACTCCGACGTCCAGACGGAACGGTTACAGTGTCCAGAAAGGCAATAGAGAAAATCGTTCACGAATACTACTCGGATCCCTTCGATAGCCACGCCCACTTTCCGTCATATGAAATAAGGGAGGATGGATATGTTGTATCACCAGTTCTCCCTTCCGAAATCCGACATGCCATTTCGTCGGTGAAAAATCGAACAGCACCAGGTCCGGACAGGATAAGACTAGAACACCTGATGAACCTTCCGCCAGTCCTCGTAAACACACTGGCTCGGCTTTTCACACGTTACTTGTTTGAATTCAAAGTCCCTACTCAGTGGAAGAGCGGCAAGACCGTGTTATTGTTCAAGAAGGGTGACCTGCACGATATCAGCAACTATCGCCCAATCTGCTTACTGTCTGTCGTATACAAACTTTCACTCGAGTCATCCTAAACAGGATTAACAGAACACTGGACGAAGGACAGCCATATGAGCAATCAGGATTTCGAAGAGGATTTAGTACGATGGACCACATCCACACGGTAACACGGCTTATTGAAGTATCGCGAGAGTACAAAAGNAATAAGGGAGGATGGATATGTTGTATCACCAGTTCTCCCTTCCGAAATCCGACATGCCATTTCGTCGGTGAAAAATCGAACAGCACCAGGTCCGGACAGGATAAGACTAGAACACCTGATGAACCTTCCGCCAGTCCTCGTAAACACACTGGCTCGGCTTTTCACACGTTACTTGTTTGAATTCAAAGTCCCTACTCAGTGGAAGAGCGGCAAGACCGTGTTATTGTTCAAGAAGGGTGACCTGCACGATATCAGCAACTATCGCCCAATCTGCTTACTGTCTGTCGTCTACAAACTTTCACTCGAGTCATCCTAAACAGGATTAACAGAACACTGGACGAAGGACAGCCATATGAGCAATCAGGATTTCGAAGAGGATTTAGTACGATGGACCACATCCACACGGTAACACGGCTTATTGAAGTATCGCGAGAGTACAAAAGACCGCTCTGTCTCACTTTCATCGAATTACAGAAGGCCTTTGATTCAGCTGAGATAGAAGCAGTCTTGGAAGTCCTTGACTGTCAAGGAGTCCCTACTCAGTACATAAAGATTTTTCGTGAGCTGTACAAAAATTTCACAACCAAGGTATCACCATTCTACAACGATATTAACATCGACGTCAAAAGAGGAGTTAGGCAAGGTGATGCCATCTCGCCAAAATTATTTACCGCCACCCTCTAGACCGTCATGCGAACATTGGAACGGGATAATATGGGAGTGAAAATCGATGGTCGGCAATTACACCACCTTCGCTTTGCTGATGACATCGTCCTTATAACACCAAACATTAGCTTGGTGGAACGTATGCTTGACGACTTTGACAAAGCCTGTGGAAAGATTGGTCTTCGACTAAATCTTACAAAAACGATGTTCATGAAGAACGGATTGGTTTCGCATGCCCCATTCACGCTAAAGGGAACGTATATCTCCGAATGCTCCAGTTATATCTATCTAGGTCGGGAAATCAATATAGCGAACGACCTAGCTCCAGAGCTGAGCAGAAGAAAAGGAGCGACTTGGGGAGCTTTCAAGAGCATTGAGGATGTAGTGAAGAGAGCAAAGAACACCCGATTCCGTGCCCACCTTTTCGACTCAACGGTACTTCCTGCCCTAACGTATGCGTCAGAAACCTGGTCACTGCGTAAGCAGGATGAAAGGTCACTCAGCGTTATCGAACGCCCAGTCGAAAGGACGATGATAGGAGTATCCCGTTCCACACAAGTAAGGGATGAGATCCGAAGCTCCGATCTGCGTCAACTATCAAAAATCAAAGATGCCGTTCTGTACGCCAAACAGTCGAAGATAGAGTGGACCGGACACATAATGCGTATGAATGACAACTGATGGACAAGAGCCGTTAGTGACTGGATTCATCGGGATGTCAGACGTACTGCAGGAAGACGACCGACCAGATGGTCAGAGCTCTTCACGAAAAGCTTAGAAGAAAGATTTGATGCTCGAGGAGTCCCTAGAGCGAGCAGAATCCACTGAGCTACTCTTGCGACAGGGAAAAATGGAAGATTTGCTGGCACCCGCTCGAGTCACTCGGCAATCAACGGGACTACAGGTGATACAGGTAATGGCTAGCACATACCTTAACATTAGTAAGATCGAGCTGTGTTATTGCGGTCTGATGAGCCTCAAGTAAATCAGCTAACAATGTGTCCGTCAAATCAGCTCCAGTTAAATCTAGATGGGATAAAGGTAGACGGGACGAGTCACACCATGGTCGCAATGCTTCTGACGCTACCGGCTCTTTCTGGAATAGAAGTTTCACTCAACAACTATACGCTTCTAATACTATAAAGCTCTTAAGCATCTGATCAAATCATGTGCTAAAACACACCGAGCGTTGCCATTCCTCCTTCTTCTTATTAAACAAAGAGTGACTGATTGGTAAAGGCAAGTGCATTTTTGACACTACATCCTGAAAATGCGGATGTATCCGTCGAAAAGTGCATACAATCAAACATAAAGCTGAGAAGGCTCGGTGAGTTGGTCCTAAAGCCCTTTTAGCACGTTTTAGTTCAGAAAACGTGAAAAACAGTTTTGCTACGTCGACCTAGAAGGTTATGAACAAGATTGCTGCAACAGCTGTCGAAGCACTCATTGAATAATTATTGTCTTTCTCACTACAGGACGAACTATACTAATATTCACTGATAAATAATAATTTTACTAAAAATAGTGACTCTAAACTAACATGAAGTTGAGTCTTCGCGCAAAGAACTCCGGAAGACAGATCTCTTAGAGACGGCGCGGAAAGCGGCATATCCTCCCCAGCCGTCATAAGTCTGCAAGAACTATCTTTAATTTTACCTTAAAAAATCGATACAAATAGCAAGTTTAAGGATGGTTTCGATTTTGAGCAAAAAAAAACTGAAAGAACACTCAGATCTACGATCAGACTATGAAAGACAGCGAAGAGGAAAAGAAGAGAAAAAATCTTACATAAACACTAAGAGAAAAGAAGAGCTATTTGTAATAAAGGGATATACCTACGCCTATGGTGTTGGCGTGGTGAAGTTGTGGACAGCTATCCACTTACAAAAAATATTAGATCTACAAAACATCGGAAATAAGTTGAAGTTACTTTTAAAAACACAAAGGAAAATAAAGAAAAGGAAAGGAAATAGGAAAAAAGAAAGAAAACAAAAAGAAAGAAAATTAAGAAAAAAGGAGAAAAGAGGAAGAAGAAAATAAAGAAAATGTAGAAAGAAAACAAGAAAAAACTGAAAACTAGAAATTAAAGGTGTGTATGGTATTTTGGGTCCTGTCAAACAGGTCAAATATTCCTTTGAAACCTCACGTAAGAAATATCCCTCCTATTCCCGAAGCGTACACTCACCTTTGTTGCAAAGGACTTTTTTACTAGAAAGCTAAAGGAGAACAGCAGAACCCCGCCAACAGTAAAAGTTGTAGTTAAGGCAGCCTACGTGAAGGAAATAATTATAGTTTATACGAAAGTCACTGAACAGAACTGAACAGTAATAAGTAAGGAGACGAACCTGTGAAGTGACTTCTGACTGAAGATGGTCGAAACTTTGGCAACAACAGGAGGGTTATTTGAGGAGTTCACATGAATTCTGCTTAGAGAACAAATATGAAACAAATTATGGAGAAAAATAGAACTGCACTTTGGTTGGAAAACATATTCGACAACAAATGGCTGATAAAATGTTCGATAGGGTCATACATCACGACCATCACATGCTACTTTCGATCGTAAATCAGCTGATCGAAGCAGTTTACAACTACTCTACTCTAACTTTACACTGATATCTGAGGTCGCAAATGAGCATTAAAAAAAGAATAAAGGATATAGCGCTCAGCGTTGATTAATCCCTGAAGGATGCACCATGCATTCGACTTCATTGAGCACCGTTTGGAGGTGACCGAATGCATATCTGGCCTTTGCAATGACTCGCGCTGGCCTACCGATGTATCGAGCTAGTGCTGCTGTCCTCCCGGACTAGCCTGGTGCCACTTTGCCGTCTCCGGAGGAATGGAAGGCTTGGTGGGCCAAGGGCGCGGTAATCGAACCCACATAAGTTACAGGACGCTTCCGACCACTACACCACACGCGCCCACTGAGCATTAGTAACGCCTAAGCAATAATACCCCCTTAAATGTCTTAATAAATGCCATTAAACGTAGCTTTTTATAGAACAAAGTCATAATAGACAACTAGGAAAACGCTAGTTACAGTATGCTCGCTAGAACGAATGACGGTTCGCACCTTCGGAGAATCGTTCTCATACCTTGTGGAACACAACTGAAGTACGATGGATGGACACTAGTGGAAAACTGACAACATGGAAATAAACCGGACCACATTATCTATTTTGTCTCAATAAATGATTAAGGCAAAGGACGAAGAATAAAGCTTTCGGCATTGATCCATCACTGACAAAAGTACAATGACTTAACCACGGATCGTTGGAAGTGACTAGATGCATATCTGGTCCATATAAAGGCTTGTGGTGGTCCACCGACGTAAGAAGACAGTACAGCCATCACCGCACAGAACTCTGCTAATTTGCTGAGCGCGGAGGTATGAAAGGTTTGGCGAGCCCTGAAAAAGAATTGAATCAAAGACCATGTGTGTGTTGCAGGCCACCTCTAACCACTGTGCAAAACACGCCCACATGGTAAGCGTGGAATAAGTACTATCATTTCAATCACATAAATGTATACATGAATGTATCACAAAATGATGACTGATTCATAAAGGCCGCACTCGATGCATAGCTCAATGACGCTGCCGCAACTAACTGTTGCTCAATTCTTCGCAAAATGGACTATCTGCTCCTCCACGTCTGAGTCATGTCGGACTCAAAGTGCAAGCAACCCAGTTATTTAGACAGTGCGATTATATGATTTAAGCAAACTCCATTGTCGTTTGTCCAGCTTAGCAAAATCAAGCCAAAACCAAGCGAAACGCAGTCAATGGACGAAGCACTGTCGCAGGTCTTTCAGTTTCAAGGAAGATTCTCCGCAAGTACTTCTATTTGTCGCTTGTGTCCATCAGCGAACAATGTTTCCTAGTTGTAACCTTCAATAACCCGTGCTTTTGATTGGAATAAAGGGTTTACGAATTTTGGACAGTAATATCTCTCTTATCTTTCCACATCAAGAATATCGATGTTGTTGTCCATTGCCCGTTCATCAAGCTCATTTGGATAATCTACTTAGGAAATTCCTCCCTACGCTTCCTGTAGGTGGATCCTTCTCTACACTAAGTTCTCGGCCAAGGAGACTTGTAAAGTAGGTACAAAGATACCTCATTCCATCAGAAAAATCGTAAGCAAAGCCTTTCACTACATCTCCAACTGTGTAGGGATCACCACCAGTACAGAGAAAATTCCTTAGATGCATTCATCGCTCAGGCGCCACTTGGAGAATTTGAGCACGTTCTTGTCCTTTTTATGTACGCTGTGATTGACCTTAACATTCAATTCATACTTTCTCGAAACCAGTAACGCCTTTCAACAAGGACACCTTAGTTCACAATCAGCGTTATCCCTTTTATACCAAATTTCAGAGTCTAGAGACCGTTGCCAACCAGATACACGTCTTCGTTCTCTGCCAAGAAGTGATCTGCGCTTTTCTTCAAAAGCTGAGTTTGGAACAGATTTAAAATGAACGGAACACTTTTTAGAAGTTATACATTCCCATGGAGACCTAAAACAAAGTCTCTTCTACTTTGTGTGCTGAGTTACCAACTTCTTCGTCCAACGGTTCATTAAGGTAAAGCAAGTTCCATTCCTAATCAATAGCTCACAATAGCTCATCAACAGCTCAGGATCGCATAGAATGGAATGATTCAAGAAATACTGCAGTACACCTAAGTTTCAAAATCCTTCAAAATGATAAAAATGTGCATAAATGGTGGAGAACAGTTAGGAATAGTAAACATCATACACTTAAAATAGTAGCATGTACAAATTGGGAGCGTGTGGCACACGGGTCGGAGGCGCCCCGCAACACACACGTCACGTGGAATCGATCCCCGTGTTCATGGCCCATCAAGCCTTCCATCCATCTGGGGTCGGCAAATTGGTACCAGACTTGTCTGGGAGGATAGCAGCACTGGCTCGATGCATCGGTAGGCCACTGCGAGTCAATGTGAAGGCCAAATATGCATTCAATCACCTCCAACGATACTTAATGAAGTGGAATGCATGGTGCATCTCTCAGGGATTGATCAACGCCTAGAGCTTTATCCTTTTTGTCCTTGATGTATACGCCCATCTCCATACGGCGAACAGCGTTCTATAATTCCTTATATACCTTCAACTCCTTAAATTCTCATCTTACCGAGAAATTATCTCCTTGTGTCGGTAGCCATTATGTCGTCAATGAGTTACGTTTCAGTCGTCGCCTAGTTCTAGCTCTGCAGCAAACATGTTAAGCGCCGTCCCACGCAGAAGGCACCCAAAATGAGAGCGTATAGTCAGGCGCTGTTTTTCGTTATTTTGTTTTACTACGTCTTTATCTCCACTTACTGCAAGTATTCTTTCCCAATGGTTTACTGTCTCGTCTTAGCTGGGAGAGGTTCCTAGGTGTCCGGCTGCGTACAGCGAGTGATTCATCGCACCAGCAGGGCCTCCCAATCTGAGTAGTCAGGTGTTTCTATCAGGAAGCCCAGCTAAGGGTAAACCAACACCAGGATCCACGACCATGCCGGTACCAGACTAGTCACATGGTGGCAAATCTCCCTCCAATTTACAAGAACGGCGAATGGTTGTGGAGGTGAAGATTTGGGGCAGACTTTGGCCAGGCTGACCTCGAGATTCCAGGAAACCACAATGGCAAATTAAATTGTGGTGCGGTCCACACAACCCATGAAGACGGGCCATCTAAGCACCAACTACCATGTAAGCACTCTGAGTAGCCAATACACTGATTTATTTTTAGTAAGCGAACAAGCAAACGAACAGCTTCTTTATCACTACGCCATAGCAATAAGCATTCCATAGCATACGACTCCCTAGACAGCCGAAAACCATACAACTATTGAAGATTCCAGAAATTAACACATTCTCGACAACATTTAACTCTTACTCTGATCAGTGTTCAAGATCAATGCAAACAGGCCAAAAGAGCCCCCTTCAACTCTAGCACAGATATCAAGACTCCTCATTAACAACAATCTCCGTCGTACGCTATCTGCGTTAAGATCAAAGGACCGCTGTGGAATAATTCTTCTGTTGAGGGAATTGCTTCCAACCTATACTGATGGTAGCGAGGTTATCGATTTAATATAGAATGCACAGAAGCAAAAACAAACAACCGGAATAGAAATAGTTTGAAATCAATGCATATCGTCAGTGAAATACTTAAAAGCCCCATAACCAAGGTAAAAAAGCCTCTATAGCCTGAACTATCGTACCACTGAAATCCTATTGCTATACAAACAAGCCTTTTGTTGTTGTTCATTGTATGCAAATCTGTCGATGACATACACCCATAACT